TATATATATATATATATATATATATATATATATATATATATATATATCAACAAGTATATATTACAAATATCTACTATTAATTAATATTATTAATTGTTGCTGTGCAATTATATATGACAATGTTACTTATTAATTTTTCCATACATAATATATGTTTATTGAATAATATACTGTTTAAGATAAACCATTTTTAAATGTAATATGCAGTTTAAATGTAAACATTTAATATGTACATCAGTATGAGATGTATACTTTTATCTATTACTACTATTATTATATAGGTAAATCACCTAACACTTAGAACATTCCTAAAATATCTTTGTTGTCTTTTTATATTAGAAGCAAATATACGAGAAATAAATTGTATAGTTTGTAGAATTGACTGACTGCAATATTTGTTACAAACACAATTTATTTCTTACACATTTTCTTTTAATATAAAAACAACAGATATTTTAGAATCTAACTTACCCTGAACACATACATCTACATTATATACAGGGTATCTGATTCGCACCAAAAAACATGTTGCTAGGAAGCTGGCTTAGCTAGCCTCTTATGCCCATGCGACAGCGCGTATACCGTTCTTCTTACCGCAGCGCGCGTACTGATTGGCCACTGGGCTAGCACTCACAAGGGGAGGACCAGGTGACTCACCCTAGGATTTTGATTCCAATTTTTTTAATTATTCTGGAGATGAAAAAAAAAGATACGTGTCCCGGCGTTTGATAGAATAGGCCTTAGTTTCGGAGTAATAAATTTGTGAAAATTGGCCATATCCGAAGCGCACCGCGGCGCGCCATATGAGCCTTCCCGGTAAGTGTATTTCCAACCAGTGCAGTTGGCTTCATGAGTTAGGTGCTTGCTTCATAATTCGTAAGATCCAAGTTCGCTCACGGAGATGAGCAATAATTTTTTTTTTTTTAATGAGTGTTTTTATTTATTTTTATTTATTTTGATGATGTTGATATAGTATGCAAATTTTTGAAATAGAAAATTTAATTTAATATCACATTCTAAACATTAATTTAAATTTAATTTTAAGGAAATTTTAATTCAAGTAATAATATTTTAAATAATAAATAAGTAATAATAATAATAATATATGTTATTTGTGGATAATATATAAAGGCAACATATCTAAATTTTCAAATTGTTTAAATTTAAAATTTAATTGGAAATAATATTAACAGTATTTTAAATTTCTAATTTTTAAAATAATTAATCGCAGAAGAAGAAGAATAAACAAACATCTGAAATGTGAATGTGAATATTTTTATTACAAAATTCAATTATTTAAGTATTGCGGATTTATTACAAAATTAAATTATTTCGGAATGCGGAACAATTACCTGAATGATAAACATTATAAAAACATTTAAAGCATATAAATTTTCTACAGTTTGTACAATGAATAAATGAAAGAGTATCACATATACATTTATTTTTCCGTAAGTCCGGGGGGAAACATATTTCGTTGACGTTTCGAAATACATTTCTTTTAGGAATTAATTTTGATGCAAACCAAGCGTACTTGATCATATCTGTAAAAGCTCCCGATGATAATTGTGAATGAATTAAAGAATGAATCTTTATTGCGTCTTCTCGCGAAGAGAGCTGTCGGTACAAATAACTTATATATTATTATTATTATTATTACTTATTTATTATTTAAAATATTATTACTTGAATTAAAATTTCCTTAAAATTAAATTTAAATTAATGTTTAGAATGTGATATTAAATTAAATTTTCTATTTCAAAAATTTGCATACTATATCAACATCATCAAAATAAATAAAAATAAATAAAAACACTCATTAAAAAAAAAAAATTATTGCTCACCTCCGTGAGCGAACTTGGATCTTACGAATTATGAACCAAGCACCTAACTCATGAAGCCAACTGCACTGGTTGGAAGTACAGTTACCGGGAAGGCTCATATGGCGCGCCGCGGTGCGCTTCGGATATGGCCAATTTTCACAAATTTATTACTCGGAAACTAAGGCCTATTCTATCAAACGCCGGGACACGTATCTTTTTTTTCATCTCCAGAATAATTAAAAAAATTGGAGTCAAAATCCTAGGGTGAGTCACCTGGTCCTCCCCTTGTCAGTACAAATCTTTTATCGTTAATATCTAAAAATTTTACGTTGTTTAAAAAAAGACACCGATTCCATTACTCACCCCGATCTATTCTAGCTATATATTCTAGTTCTGGTATGGTACGAATCAGACACCCTGTATATATAATTTTTGTATATATATTATATATATTTTATATGTATATTTTTATAAATTATTATTTATTATTAATTATTAAATACTGCTGTGAAATTAAATGATTATTTTATAAATTATTATTATATTATTAATTTTTCCATGATATATGTTTGCTTTTAGTTAATAAATGACTACCTGAGAGACAATTACTATGGTCGAGCAGGAGTAAGTGGTAGAGACGTCAAAAAGCTCAACATCGCCGCCTGTCGTCTAATGCTAGACATACTTCCTGGTTTGGAAACTTCAGCAGTATTTCAGCCAGATATGGATGGTCTCATAAACAAATTATTCAGCTGGTCAGAGAAGGCCGTTGAGCCGTTGCGGAGTTACTCAACTGGTCTTTTAGCAGCCGCGATGGAAGTACAAGACATCGCCACGGGATTTAGGGAACAAAATGCCAAGATGGTACCGTTGATGTTACAGCGGTTGCACATGCTGCAGGAAACAGCACATGAGGATCGTCAAGTGGCGACGAACACTAGGCCGTTTGCTCATTTCGGGCAAGACAGAAACAATGTCAGCAACGATTCCGATAACAGAGGTGTGCCCGGTAAGCGGAAAGTACGCGACAAACGATACGAAAACGGCATTACGAAGAATACGACACGAGACTCACTTTTTTCTGACGAGGACGACTCCACACGTAATTTCGACGACATACCAGTCTCCAAGAAGAAGAGGAGCAACTCTGATTGTGAGCAAACTACTGTGAAAGGAAATAGCGACACCTCGTATCCCGAGATCATGTCTCCGCCGTTGTGTATACCAAAAACACCGAACAATTCGCAAGTAACGCCGTCCAGGCCGAGTGGCATGCAACTATTGTCGAGAAACGCAAACTCACCCTGTGTTCGTAATCTGCAAAAGTCGTCCGGCATGTTACTCAACTCCAGCGCACATTCTTCGTTGTTGGAGAGTAACTCGAACTCGTCCTGGGCTGAGATGGAGTCTTACGTGATCGGTAACGTGCAGATGCATCCACCGACACTTGCGACTCGGCAGATCCTAATACTGCGTTATCTTACACCCATGGGCGAGTACCAGGAATTCCTCGGCCACGTATTTGAACAAAATGCCCTGGAGTTGATTCTGAATTACATAAACGTGCGCGAGACCAAGGACAGCAGACTCGCCTTCGAAGCTCTCAAGTATCTCGCGTCGTTGCTCTGCCATAAGAAATTCTCGATAGAGTTCCTCAACGTCGGCGGCCTGCAACGGTTGTTAGATGTGCCGAGACCGAGCGTAGCGGCGACCGGTGTTTCCATATGTCTTTATTATTTAGCATATTGCGAAGATGCCATGGAACGTGTGTGTTTGTTGCCGAAGCATATTATATCAGATCTCGTTACTTACGCGTTATGGTTATTGGAACGTAGCCATGACTCTGGGAGATGTCACGCGACCATGTTCTTTGGATTTTCTTTTCCATTCAAAGTCATACTCGAAGAATTTGATGCGCAGGACGGTTTGAGGAAACTGTTTAATGTGGTAAGAGATCGACAATTATTTTCCGTGCTGCGTTGATAAAAGTAAACTTACTATTACCAAGAATATATTTAGCATTACAATATTGTAAAAAGTGATAAGAATATGTAATAAATAAGTAAAAAAATGTACATAATATAGTATAATAATTATAATATCAATATTTATTTAATTTGTAAAGCAAGCAGTGGAATTTTATTGCAAAGGAGGTAACGCGAAATTCATTCTGATGACATTGAATCCTGTTTTAGATATCTACCTTGTCGATTCTAAATATCGAAGAGGAGCCGGCTATAAATGATGATGAAGAGTGCGCATCGAGACAGATAGTAAGACACGTAGCTGTCGCTTTAAAGAGATATATGGAAGCACATCTACATCTGAAAGCTGAACAACTGCAAAGGGCGGAAAATGTTAGAACTGATCGCGATACATGGCAGCCTTCTTTACCGCCTTACAAAGTGAGATATCCAACAACTTATTATATTTTTGTCACATGTTGATTATAGTCCATTTACGTTTAGTCTTTAAACAATTAAAGCTACAATAATTCGCGATTTGTATTGTTATTGATTAATTATTTATTATGTGTTTACGTGTGTGTGTATGTATCTCTAATATTTATATGTTACGTATATGTATGTGTGTAATATTTTAGGCGTGTAAACTTAGTAGTGAGGAAGTTCAGGCAAAAGTAGAGATACTTCAAGAATTAATGTCAGTCAGAGCAGTGTGGCCACCAGTTGAAGAACTGCATCGTTTGGGTGGCATCACATTATTATTACAAATCATAGCTTTTGCTCGTGAATGGAACTACAGTGGACGGTAAGGCAACATCGCGTGATCAACGATAGTTTCTGTCAAATTTTTTAATTTTATATCTCAGTTTTTCAATTTAATGAAAAGTCAAGTGATGCAAAAGATCTACTCTAATAAAAGAGATTTCTCTCTGTTTCCCTTTTAGGGTACACATGCAACACACTTCTAGTGCAGAAACCGTAAGATCGTGTTTGGATGTGATTGCAATCTGTTCCGTTGTCCCTAAAGTCATGTTACTGTTATGTGAAAGGGTAGATATGCCAGATATGTCGATGACAATGGCGATCAATCTTCTGCTAGCCGCGGCTGAATGTGAAATCGTTGCGGACGCTGATGTGCAGAGAGCAGCACTTAGAGCTGTGATTAATTGTGTATGCGCTCCCATGAACAGAGTATGTTTCATTACTCACATTATATAATATTATATAATATTATTTGTAATATAATGTCTAAGGATGTCATTTTTTATTATGCTTAAGATTGGTGGAAATGTAGCCAGATACTCTATAACAGGATCTGCTAAAAAGAAAACGAACATTCACAACAGTGAAGAATTGATACAAAAAATCTGGGAAAGCGTGAGATCAAATAACGGAATCATGGTATGTTTACGTAAAATATAATCATGATTCTCAAATAATCACGAATTAGATAATCATTTGAACAATCGTTAGACTTGTTCTTTTTAATTGAACTAGTGCTGAAACTTTATTCTTTTTCCTTTCTACGCTAAATTATAAACTTGTTCCACTTTAATGATAAAAATGCAACCTAATTTAGCTAAAAAAAAAATAGTCCCCTATATTGTAGACTATTTTTTTAAATTATATTAAACTATAAAATAATGTTTATCACAGGTATTACTGCAGTTAATGATGGTGAAGACACCAATCACTGACGCCGATAGCATACGAGCACTAGCGTGTCGTGCATTAGCTGGACTAGCACGTAGTGAGAAAGTCAAGCAGATTATTAGTAAGTTACCAATGTTCACGGATGGACAGATACAATCCCTCATGAAAGATCCGATCTTGCAAGAAAAGCGACAGGAACACGTTACTTTTCAAAAATACGCTTTGGAATTGATCGAAAGAGTATCTGGTAAAGCAAAACCAACAGGTGCAGAGTATGAAATGTCTTTAGTCAGTTTACACAGGGTAAGCAGCTTTTGGTTTGCTATTTCTTTTTTCACGCATATGTGTAAGTTGTATCTTATAGCACTTTTTTCAGTTTTAAGTTTGATAAATTCGGAGTTGCGTTTAGCAACTTATAAAAGTTCTGGATTATATTATATATAATTAATATATGTATATTTGCTTTTTAAAGGCAAATGTTGTGGCACAAACAAGAATACAATATAACGAACAACAACTCAATCAATTGATACATCAGCATCTTATGTCGAAGGGATTAACTGAAACAGCTAATACATTACATATAGAAGCAAACTTGGATTCGTCTGCGATTATGAAGTCCGTAGCATATCAACCATTTACATACCGGAATCCTGTGAACGTAACTGTATGTTTATATATTAAAGAAATTTGTGCTTTTATACTATTTTTTATAAGCATTATATATATATATACACGTTAGCATTGTTATACTTATAAATATACATTGATTAATATATTTGCAGCATACATGTCTTTTTTTGTTTTTTATTTACAAGATGCATCTGATAATTTATCTATTTTCTTTTTGTACTATTGATAACATAAGTTATGTTATTTGTTTCAGCCAAGAAACAGTTTCTCTCCTGGTGCTCACTTATATAATACAAGCAGATGTACGCCAAGAGAAACCACCTGTAGAAACAATACTACTCCAACATCATCATCTCGATTTATATCTCACTCGACTTCATGTTCTAGTTCACCAACTGTCAACAATAACGTTCGATTAAAATTTACAGATTGTTTGAATCAAAACGTCATTTCGACTATCGTAAATCAGCCGATTAAGTTACAAATTAGTCAAAAGTAAGACTCGTGCACATCTCTAACATGTCATGTTTTGTCTCTACCGTTTCTCAATATACATACCGTTTTATTATAGGAAATCAACATCATCCGATAAAGCACCTCTAGTCACTTCAACTAGTTGTCAGCCTGCAATATCTACAATGCAATTGCAAACTACGAGTTGTAGATCTTTACAAAAACAAATTTCCAGAGATCCTGGAGGTGGCGGAGGACCTGGCGTAGTTACCTCCAATGTATCTGTCACTCTAGATTCTATTATTACAGAATATCTAACTAATCAACATGCTCTCTGTAAAAATCCCATGGTGACATGTGCGCAGTTTAATCTTTTCGAGTAAGTATTAAAATCTCTCTCGATGTTACGTTAAAAAAGAATTCTACCTATAATTTTAGACAGGATTATTTTCAGTGAAGCGATTCTATTTCAATTATTTAATTACAGGCCACACAAGTGTCCAGACCCGTGTATAAAAAATTCTTTGCCCACAAACGTGACAGTGAGATTAGCGAGACGATCGTTAGGGATGGATAGTAGGAAGTTAGATAGGAAATACATTTACAGCCGTTTTTGTCCTGTAAAAACTTTCCGGCCTACCGATGTGGGAGGAATCTTCACTTGTTGCGCTTTTTCGGTAAATTTTTTGTATTAATTATTCAGATGGTTCTTGTATATTCTATGTATATCTTAAAAAATATACTTTCCTATACAGCCATGTACGCAATACCTCTTTCTGGGCACTCATTCTGGAGACATCAAGATGTTCAATACTCATACAGGAATGGAGGAGGCAACTTATCAGTGCCATGAGTCGTATGTGTATCATATAGAATGTAATCAACGTGGTAATCTTTTGTTGACCTCAACTGCTTGGAGAAGCCCTATGTCAGCCCTCTGGGATATGGGTACTGGCTTCTTTGAAATGAAACTACCTTTGGAGACTGAGGATTATGTAGAATTCGGGAAATTACAAGACAGAGTAATTGGTACACAAGGAGAGAGCGCGACGGTAAATTGCATGTTACTTGATTGCATATTAATAGTATTATATGATAAAATATTATGTTTTCTGCATTACTTTCTAATTGAATTAAATCTGGAAGTCTGAATATTTTTATATTGTCTATTTCTTATACTCGTATATGTACTTATTTTAGATATATGATATAGTAACGGGAAAATTACTAACAACTTTGACACCATCGATTTCGAATCAGTATACAAAAAATCGTGCAACCTTCAGTATGAATGATGAGTTGGTGCTCAGCGACGGTATTTTGTGGGACGTTAATTCGAGCAAAGAAATCCATAAATTCGACAAATTGAATCAAGCGTTGAACGGAGTTTTTCATCCAAATGGAATGGAGGTTGTGTCTAACACCGAAGTATGGGACTTAAGAACGTTTCATCTACTGAAAACAGTTCCCACTTTAGACGAAATGGAGATAATCTTTTCGCCAGTCAATAATATTATATATGCAATGTCGTTAGACCAAGAGACCGACGAGGCTCATTTTGCAACTTCCTTTAAGACCTTAGATGCTTTAGATTATAGTAATATAGGTAAGTTAATTTTTGTTAATGCGGTTTCGAAACAAAATGCGATTTTAGTTGTAATTAATACACTGATTTAGTTGTAATTAATATACTGATTTCATAACTAACTGCTGTCTCATATTTCAGCAACTTACGATGTAAAAAGAGGAATTTATGGTCTTGCGTGCAACAAGTATGATACGCAGATTGCTATAGTGGAAAATGCGGGTGAATTCTCAAGTATACAGGAATCGTGCGTTAGATTGTACGATGTTGGAAGACGTAGAGATGACGAAGATGAAGCCGATGAGGATGATGAGGAGGAGGATCTTGATGCCAGTGATGATGACGGTTCAAATTCGGGGTCTGATGATAATAACGCAGACGGTAAAAATTAATGTTGCTACATTATTTGTCGCAAAATTTATATCTAGGTGTTAAAAAGAAATAGGAAAACTCTACTGGTTTAAATTAAATGGACAAACATAATTAAAAATATTTAATACTAACAAAGTATTAGTATATAAAAAATTGTCGCCAAGATTATGAAAATTTTTATCACTGCAAGATAAGCCCAACGGTTATCATCTTTGTAAATGATAATCACGGAAAAATGCAGATTTACTGAAATATAATAGTATCATGCGATGTATGTATGTATGTATGTATGTATGTATGTATGTATGTATGTATGTATGTATGTATGTATGTATGTATGTTTGTTTGTTTGTTGTTTGTTTGTTTGTTTGTATATTTATCTATCTATCTATCTATCTATCTATCTAATCTATCTATCTATCTATCTGTCTATCTATCTATCTAATCTATCTATCTATCTATCTATCTATCTATCTGTCTGTCTATCTATCTATCTATCTATCTATCTATCTATCTATCTCTATCTATCTATCTATCTATCTATCTATCTGTCTATCTATCTATCTATCTATCTATCTATCTATCTATCTATCTGTTTATCTATCTATCTGTCTATCTATCTATCTCTATCTATCTATCTATCTATCTATCTATCTATCTATCTATCTATGAAATATTCGAATAATAATGAATAGAAAAATTAACACTAAATCGTCTCTAATAAATATAATACTATATAACAAATAATTATATCTATAAATTATAAATACATTAATAATAAATAACTATATAAATAGTAGTAGTGATATGTGCATACAACACATACACACACACAGATTTCCATAATAGTGTCGATTTTTATTTATGTTTCATCAGTTATATCGTAAATTATTCGTATTTTTCTGTTAAAGCAGACGGTGATAATGCAGACGCTGGTGCAGAAGACAACGGCGATGATAATGAGCAGAACGATAGAGAAAACAATGATGACGATGATGATGACGACGAGGATGGCGGTGATGGAGACGATTCTGGCGATGATAGTGCAGATTATGATCCTAATGTTGATATTAACGATCTCTCAGATGACTTCTCTTTGTCAGACATGGACGATCTTGAAATATTGTTTTCGTGAACATCATTGATAATCACACACATGTGCATATAAATATATATACATATATATAAATATATATAAATATAATAGTGTATACATATTTATTTATATTTATATATATAAATATATATAAAGTTAGAAAAAAGAGCAATTTCATCGCGATGCATTATTAACATCTGGAGTGCCACGCTTGGATTTGAGTGTGAATTTTATCGAACCCGAACTTTCTGGTCACCACACGCGATCATATATAGAAAGTCAGATTATTTAACAAATTGTCAACTATATGATAGTATCCGATTAAGTACTAAAATCATTTCTAGTTAGGTAAGTAAAATCGTCATCTTATGATCCTTGCAGAAACTTACACATCATTCAAATATAGATGGCGTGACACTCAACGTGCTAATGGCGCATACTCTAAATGTATAAATATTTTCTAGCTGAACCCAGCCATTGTAACTTGAGCGTCTTTGTTCGCGTCACGGGTCCGTACTTCTCAAATCACAGATAATCAATTGTAAATGATTATTACTAATATTCTGTTCGATCATTGAATAAAAATATGTTATATATTATATATATACTTTTCAATCGAATAGCAAGTATCAATCCGTGACGTCCTTGTGCTCATAATCAGTCGATCGTAAGACTGCAGCACAACCGGATATTATCCTTGTAATTTGTGAGAAAAGGCAAAAGATGGAACAAAACACTATATCTATAAAAATATGTTTGAACTTCCAGTTCAAATATATTTAAAAAGTGTTTTTTTTTTACGAGTAAATTCTAAAATTGTGTATATACTTTTAGCGTATCTTATATCTATGATTTATTTTATTTTATACAAATAGAAATCTCTTACTTTTTCTTCCCTAATACGAGGTCATTTATTAATTATAATAATCGTATTATTAATGTTTTTTAGATATGCGTTTATATTTCACATGGTACTACCTCCACTCAACATTTATGCAGTTTTACAGACTTCCACGGGAATCAGGGCTGTTAAAATATTTCAGATTACGAGTCTCTATCGTGTGGGCGCTTTTATACGCGTTCACTCTTTACTATTAACATTATAATGTTTCGTACCTTATAATTTTACTGAGTTTTGTAAAAATCGTGAAAGAAATAATACAGTAAAATACCGAAACCAATATCACTTACGTTTGTACGTGTCGAGTTTGAAAGGTTACATGCGTATGCGAGAATTCGATATAACACACGTTATATTGCATTTACATTGTTGAATGAGAAATAATATTGATGAACATCTTTATAAATAATTGATATAAATTATTATAAACACATATTTAATATACGCTAAATCCTATATTCTCAACGATTTTTTGAGATATTTAAATATTGGGAGTAAAATTCAATACCGTTAGCGCGAGATAACTGTTTATAACAGATAAAGTAATATATTTGAGAATATTCTAGTAAAAACATTAACTGACAGTAACATTACATCAATGTTATAATTTTCTATTTAACAATGTAACTGTTAAATAACACACGTTATATTGTATTTACATTGTTGAATGAGAAATAATATTGATGTTACTGATAGAAGAAAGTATTTTACGTTTCTGTGTATGTTTTGAGGTTTCAAAGATTTAGCGGAATTTTATTTTATTTATCTAAATATAATAATATATAAAGTGTCAACCGAAAATTTATAGACATACTTTATTTTAATTAAATGCAAATATAATTACGAATATAATTAATGTATAAAATAGAATATTTGTAAAAAGTCCACAAAATCGTGTAATTCGTTATTAATAAAATAGAAATTTATATATATAAATTTCTATTGAAATTCTTTTAATTCGGTTATTACTGTGTATATATCATTGTATATATGTCATCCTGCATTATGCAGTGGTAAAAATAATGATGGTTGTTTGGAGGTATTTCTCTTTTTCTTGTGTTATAAGTTAAATTGAATCTTATTAGATCAATATCTTATCGCAGCAATTATATACTTACGCCATTTGTAATGCCAATTTTTAAAATGATATACATAATTTATTCAAAAGAAAGTTTAATGCAAAAGCTATATAAAAGCGCTCTTGAAAACTCGAAAAAAATAATTAGAAGGAAGTATTCTTTTATTTATATTTGTTTATATTTGTTTATATCTCATTTATTTATATTTGTGTGTATGCGCGTATGCAATTGTGCTGAATTTTTCGCATCTGTTTGCATCGATATATTTTATGACAATTTTTATGTTTCTTGAATGATAAGATTGGCTATTTAATGCTTAAATACAAGTTTAGCGGGTAAACTGAAAAGAGTTAGTCGACAGTTAAAACTGACTGGAACATCGTCCTGATAATTTCCTATTCTTTATATCTATTTAATCGCTTTCCATAATGAATTATTATTATTACTACATGATGTGGAATGCGCATCTTAAAATTATAGACTTAAATATTTCTATTAAATTACAGAAATTAAATTACTACTTGCAAGTACTTTGATCTTGTCTCGTACAAAAACATAACTCGTCGAAATTAAATATAAATAACAAAAAATATTCATGCGTGAGAACACACGAAAAAAACAGCTGAATCTGTTAATCGCCAGGAATGCTTTTATTGATACAAACATATGGCTGTGTATTAAATTTGTCTATCGCACAAAGGTCTGCCCGTCGATTGTAAAGGTAACGCGGGTAACCAACGACCAAGCTTATATCATCGTTGTGTTGTGCTCGATATTGCACGTGAAACATTTCATTCGACAAAGACACAGCGCGTTACAAATTACGACGTTTGCGTATTAAAACGTATACCACACGGTCTAAGCGTGCCACAAAAAAAACGTCGGGTATCACAATACCATCACGCGCAAGTGCTTTGTTTAAGCGCTTCGAAATTGTGCTTCAACATCTACGCAGTTACGTACATACGTGATACAACAAATCGGTAATTTCGTCGTATGGTCTGATACGCTTGAAAAAGATGTGTCGCACGATGTCTCACAAAGCTACCTTTCGCCGCGATTAAGTAGCTTTGAGCATGTTGTAATTTGTTAGATCGTGCTAGCGCGAATGCTAAAACGCGCGTTAAAGTTCAAAAAGTCCATTTATAACATTATATAATTCTTCTAATAGTGTTTCTTATTTTCTTTTTTTTTCTTATGCCCTTTGGAATCAGTCGTGGCTGCCTCTGCTGTACATGAACCAAATGAACCTCAGACAAAAGTTCATGCTCGCTCTGACGCTTGCCGCCGAGTACAGAGCATTTTGCAATTATCAGCTGGGCGGTATTGCCTTGGCGGTTTGTCCAAATCCTAAGTTAGGCCTCGTGCCAAACCATGACATTTTCCACTCTAGTGTTTCCTGCAGTAGACGCTCTTCCTCCGGCGAGAAGTGCAACAACGTCGCCACCGCCCTCGTCAAATGGAGAGCCTTTAAGATAAAGAAGAAAGCACAATAGTTAGGCGCTGAAAATAGAGATATTAATCGGATGAGAAGGGGAATACGCACCTCGTACTCTCTGCTGGTGAGGAACTTGATGAGAACATGCTTGAGATATTTAAAATTAACGTCATCCTCTCTAGAATTGTTATGTCTGGCAGTGACGGTTTTAGATGAACTCGGATTGAGAATCGCCGCGGAAGCCTCGACGTCGCTGTCCAATGACGAGGTCGGAATTCTCAGCTCACGTTGGAGTGTCTTTTTCATGTCGGTCAACCGTTGCTGCAAAACTTTGATTGTCTGAAAGCAAACAAAGGAAGACACGATAAAAAGATTCCAGAGAAATGATGACTTCATATAGTAGATTTATTAATATTGTTTTCAGAATGACATTGACATACTTTATTCTTTTCGCTCAATTGTTCTTCCAAGTCTAATAAGCTGCTCTTCAATATCCTTTCGTTACTTTCCAGCTTCTCCCTGCTACGTTCTACCTCTTCCAGCTCCACTAGTCGTCGCTCAAGCTCCTTCAACGCAATTGCCGCTTGCTCTGTCTCCTTTGTCTTACCGACCAGATCCTCTTCCAGATGCTCGACTCTACTCTGCAGTTCCGTGTTCTCGATCTCCTGCTGTCGATTCTCCTGCTTCACGATTTCCATGTCCTGTGATACCTGAGCATTCCTCAGCAACGCGGCATCCTTCTCGCCTCTCTCCTTCTCGAGAAAAACGCGCAGTTCCGTCGTCATCGCTCTTTCCGATTCGAGGACCTGCCGTAGACGGGCCAATTCTACACGCAAAGAGGAATTGTTCGACCGCTCCTCTTCCAAAGTCGATCGAAGACTCGATAACTCGTTGGTGGCTGTAGTGAGTTCACTCGTGGTGTCCTCGAGGTTTGTTTTCAGCTGATTGATCTGCTTTGAAGAGAATTCCTGAGAAAATGACAAACATAAATTCATTTGAATCGTATGCAGCTTTACCCTTATTTATGTTCATGATAATCTTTTCTTTCGTGTACATGTGTGTATGTTATTTATATAATGTACTATTACGATTATGTTAAAGTGAATATTTGAATCGTGTGAGAGAACGTCTAATAATTACGTGAACTTTCCTCTTTTAAAAAATTTCTTCTGAAACAGAGAAATTCGAAACAGTACATTTTTGCTTTTGAAGAACGCTTGTAATGAGTTTTTGTTAGGCTGTTGCGTCTTATAATCACTGCCACATGTGTTATTTATAAATTCTCAGATTTATAAATTATTATTATAAATTTAGAAGTGGTTTACAGCCAACTAACGGGTACAATGCATTCTCTTTGGTATTTCTTGCACTATGCAATATAAATCTACGTAACTGACGTGTATCGATAATGTGGCAGAAAATAATATAGCTATCAGCTCCAAGGATTACAGTGTAAAGAACCGATTTCATCTCAAAATCGAATCTGTCTTTCACGGTAAACGACAAGCGCAGGACGACTTTGAAATGAAATCTCTCACGGCCTTCCTCTCCATGATGGAATTGTGGTTGAGTATCGATAAGTTTCACTCGGGAACAAAAAGTGGTGGAAAAGAAGCGAAAAACGGGTGAAATGCAAGAAAGACTGTATATTTGGTTTCTTTCTTTATTCCACAAATAAAATATACATAAGGTGCGGTCGTACATAAAAATATAATATATATGTATATATCTGTATATATGTATGTATGTATTATATCAGCATACAGCATCTAATGTCCATGTACAAAGGTAATGTACAAAGGAGGGTAATGCTATTATCAGTAAAGAGCGAATCTGAGCAAATTACGGAATCAAACGACTTACGCATTCTTCCAACGGGGATCTTCCCGAGAAACGCGGCGGATAATTCTCTCAACATGCTTAGAGTAACAATAATAAAAACAACAAAAACGTTAAAAAGCAAAAATCAAAAAGACTCGCAATAAATGCACGTGCAAAGTACTGACTAAAAGGGATAAGCCAAGCAAAAGAAGAAGCGTCAAGCTCCTAGATAGCATGCGACAATATTGCCGATATACAGTTTCCGATATATAATACTGAGACCAAACGACACGCTTGTAATCCTTTTTATGACGTACGCGATGGCACAAACAAGGTACTAAGGGTGTCCGAGAGTGTAACCGGTGATTGTCTAACAACAACTACTACGTCGACCGCAAACTCTATAAGACTTTCGTTTCGATTGCTACGGACGGTGTGCGATTCGTCGAAATGAGAATGACTCAATGTAATTATCGCTTTTGAATCACGATTTCATGTACAATATTTAATACACTTGGCATTCTACAAGTTCGCTCGATGATATAAGGTGAAAGTACCAATGCCTGGATACTAATCACATTGGTATCTAATTCTGGACATCACATTGGTATTTAATTCTGGACATTCCTATTGTTTTGGTCTTTAAATTTGATCTTTTTTTATTTTAGCCGATTTTTGGTATTTAAATACGAATGAAAAAAAAACGAATATTTCAACTTTTAATATAAAATATACAAGGTAATATTCTGTCCACTTCAAATCTCCATTGTTTCAAATAATATAGAAAAGTTATATATATTATACATAAGTATAGAATATATACACATATTCTATATGTTGAAAGTTTAAATATTTATATTTAAAAACTAAAACAGCAAGAATATTCAGAATAAGGTACTAGCATTATTAGTATCCAGTCATTGGTATGCTTTTATCTTATACCATGAAAATTTGTTTGTTAAATTTAATCCGGTCTTTTGCCTTGCTATCAAGATTTTTTTACTTAACGTAATTTGTTCCGTTAAAAACTCTACCTGAAGACACAGTTGATAACGTGCAGGAATATATGTAATATGCATTGCGATATACTTGGCCTGAATTTAGCAAAGATAGTCGCCGCGAGAAGCAGATAATACACTGCTTTATACGGCACAGTCTGTCTGGCGGCAACCGCTTCATTACCATACCGGTTGTTATCCGTAACTTAGAAGATAAGGAATATTAGCGAAACTTCCAACAACAAGATTTCGAAAACTGGAACGTAAAATACGCAAGCGCGAGAGCTCTACGTCCAAATGCATCTCCCGTCTAGAGGAAATAGAATTCATCAGTCTTATAAAATTTGATGGCCGGGGGGACAGTCGACTGCGCGTTCCGGAAGTAAACGCGTGGACGTAATGAAGAATCGAAAACGATCAAAGCCGCCAGTTTTGTTGTCAACAAGCGTATATCGAGAATAGACAAAGTGGCCATGTACCTCTTTCTTTCTTTCTTCCGATGCATTAAGACAAATAAGAAAAAGAGATATTAGACGACAAAGCTTTCCTCCGATAATGACGATGCACAGTCTTTGGTGAGAACAACGAGAAAGTCATACTCTACGTCGTGGGATTGATTATATTATATTCCGAACTCGTGACTCGGATCGATATAAGAACACGGAGCTCGTGCGTTCGAGACTTCAACTCCGCGGCTCGTTTTAAGACATTTCTTAGAAAATGAATCGTTCAGCACTGTGATCGTTTGTCACACCTATCGCCGCTTCCGGAAACAATTCGGCGCTGCCTACGAATAACTCGGTGTAACTCGATAAGAAAGATTCTCGGCAGAAGGACAATCTAAAGATTTCATGCAACTTGGTGTCACTACATATCGCGGTAACTCACAATTTGCCGCTTAAACTCTTCCACCTCGTCATCGACGCTGGCACGGAGCTCTTTCAGTTCCGTGGCCATCTCGTCGATGTCCTCTGTCATGCGCAAAAGCTTGGCGTCTTTCGTCGCTATGACAACATTGTTCACCTCAATCTCGGCCTCTAGTTGCTTGATTCTCTGTTTCAGCTTCTCCTTCTCCTGCTCGACTCGCCTGCGCTCCAGTCCCTCTTCGCCAGCTTGCCTGCTCAGCCTGCCGACCTGCGTCTCCAAACTGGAGATCTTGCCAGACCAGCTAGTCTTTATGTCGGACAAGTGTAGGTGCGCCTCCTCCAATTTTCTCTCCAGCAACGTTCGCTCGCGCATTAGATCGGCTATCCTTTCGTCGACCGTCACCTGATCGTTCGTTTCCAGGGCGATTCTTTGTTCCAACACGAACACCTTGTCCTTCAAGTGGCGAACCTCCTCCTCCGTCTGCGCCAGTTGGCAGGAGAGCTGTGCCCTTTCTCGCTGAGTGGAGTGACGCATTGTTTCCATCTCGTCCTGAAAGTGAGAGCACGATTACCGGACCATTGTCTGTTGATACTCTTCTAACGGAATTATACTTAGCTCCCTTGTTTAGTTTACAAAGCTTCCCCGGCGAACCTTAATCAAAGCGACAACACACGAGAAGTTTGTTAAGCGAAAAATAAGAGGATATGTCTCTCGACACCACAAAAATACGAAAAGGTGAACAAGAGGAACGATAATTGCGGTATTTGACGCTTGCTGTGTCGAGTTACTTTCCAGTTTTGGAAACTAAACGACTCACATATACAAGAGAACAAAAATCACAGACCTTTTCGTATTTTTCCATTCAAAATGAGAAAACAGAACTACCGTCACCATTTAAAATAAAAGTCACATAAAATAAGATAAAAGAGAAAATCGAAGAGGAAAAGAAAAAGCTTCTATGAGTAAACAAGAACAGAAAGATTACCTCATCGTACCTGAGGCAGTGTCGCGATTAAGCGTACACACAAGTGCATTATCGTTAAGTAGAGATTTCGTCAAGTTTTGCTCGGTACCAAGAATTTATATTCCGAAAGCACGTCGAGAAACAAGCATGAGTATGGTGTGTTGAAGCTAGTGAACGTAGCAATCTAACGTAGCGGATAGCGGCAAAGCCTTGAAGACGTACCTCTAGCATCAGCGGTAGCAGCAGCGAATTAGCGGACACGACCGCCTAACTCTGATCTCCGACGCTCTCTCGTTTACCAAAGTTTTCCAATCTTCATGCGTGTGTTGCGTTCACGAAACTTTCGGTATCACTTTTTAGCAATGTCGCTGTTCCATAACTCTAGGGAAACGTCACCATCAAGTGTGACACCACCGAGTACTATATACGCGGAGGATGTATATCCGCGAGTCCCAGAAATCGGAGTTTCAGCTCGCGCAAGAACACCTGTTATCTTTGGTAAGTAGAGAAACGTGTTTCTTTCCACTTCAATAATTCCCAGATATAATTCTCTCTTGCAGAAACGCGGTCAGCAATGTTTAATCGATCGCTCCGTCAATTCTCGGTTAAGCGACTGGAATGCAACGTCAACAATACCGATAACAATTGGGCGACTTGATACTGAGACAGCGCCGTAGTATAACATTGTAACCGAGAGTTATGGAACTCACGTAGTCTCGATCTGAACGTATTTCACTACAGTGAGAGTCACATGTAATATATATGTCATGAATTCACGTTTGAGCGGTGTGTCGATAAAAAACAAAAAGAAAAAAAGGTGCAGAGGAAAATATGGCAAATTGTGACAAAACAAAAAGCAATATAATATTATTGTCAAAAACATTAACACGAATATAAAGTAATACAAATATAAAATCCCTTTTCAAACAAGCGTGCTTGAGAAATGCGTAAATTCTGAGGTTCAGTCGACAATGATTCACATAATCGTAAGACAAGTGTACTTAACTGTCAATAGAAGCAAAAAATTCGATTCTATGTCGATATCTACGTATGCTTTTGCGCGTGAATGCATTATTTAAGAGATATGTTGAGCTATGTGCTTAATAAGTAATCCTGTTTTCTAAGGGAGAAATTTGTATATATATCGATGTGATAGACATATAAAGTGTCACTTAAATGAGTGTTCATTAATTTTAAACTCTCCATATATCTTGCACAACAGTTACACGATACAGATGTGTGTTATACGTGATCACATATTTAAAATAAAAGAATATTGGAAAAACCATAATTAAATATCAAAGAAAATAAACGAATTGATGTTATTCTATTAAAATAATAACTAGTTGAAAGAAGATATTTTAACAGATAAAAATAAATTTGGACAATCTACTCACTTGCACATTGTTCAACTCATCCTCGTATCGTCGGAGACGGGAAACCTCGGTCTTCAAGCTCTCTATTTCTGATGTAGCAGCTTTCAAATGATGCGATTTTTCCTCTGCTTCCTGCTCTTTTGACAGTAACTAAAATAAATAAGCAATGTAGCAAATAATTATACTCATATCACCTATTACTATTCACTATTCATATAATAATACAAAATGCTTCTCAATACTCTCTTGAATATCAACAAAAAAACTGTACTACATTCTAACTATATTATAAAGAACTTACAAGATGTTTAATTTTAGCCATCTCCTGTGTTTGAAAACCTTCCAGCTGTTCGGCATCCTCTTGAAAACTGTACAACTTCTTTTTATACTCTAAAAAATAATTATGAGAATCAATTAAATCTTCTGTATGAAAATAGGAAAAAAACAATTGATAAGAGCTTTAAAAACTCAGTTATTTGGAACTACCTTCTGCATCTTTGAGAGCATGCTCTAAGGACTGCTTTGTAATTTCTATCTTTCTTATCTCTTCCTCTAATTTCCGTTTTTCCTTCTCCTGTCTCTCCACAATTTTCTTCCATTCCTTCTCTTTTTCAAAAAACCTGACTTTCCATTCTTCTTCCTTTTTCTCCACCCGCTTTAACATCTCAGCCTCCTTTTTTGCCAAACGTTTTCTCCATTCATCCTCTCTGCTCTCAAATCTCTTAATATCTTTTGCAGACAATTGCATTCCATCATTGAGCTTAAGTTCAAAACTATTCTCTCTTCTTAATGAAACTGGTGGTGAGGGAGATGCAGCATTTTCTTCCCTCAATCCATCCAGTGATACTTGGGAACCACTAATACTACTTGTAGAGCCTGTCTGCAACAATAACAATTGATGTTATTAACATCAAAAGATTCATTTGAGAAAGTTAAGAAAAAAATTTTTCTATTTTAACACTAAATAAAATAAATTCAATGTGGAGTGAAGCAACATGGAGATGAAATTGCTTTTCTATTTTTTAGATACAATCACAATTTACAAGTAAAGATTTCTAAATTTTTTTGAAAGACTATAAAATTCACATATTTATTATAGATTATTAAATGATTATAAATTGATAAATTAATGTTTCTTCAATGATATTTCTTGTTAGAGATAAGATAATATAATGGTTATATTATGAAAACATTAGCACACTAATTGACAGTAATTAGCTGTATAGTTCAAGACAAATTGCATCAGCAATGATATTGAGAGTTATCGACCTATTAAATCTCTTCTAGATTACGATACTATTTACACGAAGAAAATCCATTAATTGAATGCTTATCAAAATCGATGCAATCTATTGTTAAAATTCTAACAATGACGATGAGCAATGCAATGCCAATGTTCAACGTTATATTTACCTGAGACACATGTTTGGAATTAATGGCACGTATGCTGCCGGCGTTTCTGACGACGGTGGACACGTCGCTACCGATCTCCTCGCGTATTTTGTTCTTCAGGGTGGTGAACATGGTGCGAATGCTACCGTTTCAATATCAGTACGCGAAACGACAGCGATGACACGCATGCACCATCACCACTACCTACCACCACCTGTCAACCCTTGCGACGTATAATTTAAACGTAATGCACGCAGACCTGAACACGCACCCGTTAATCCTCACGCCGACGAAGATCACAGTGAGGTGAAACGCACAACGCGCGACCGCTTCATTATCCGTCACACGTCCGTTGTCCGTTGTCTTCAGCAATCCCCGGAATCCATAGTTCGCGTTTCCCGATCGCGAAAGCACTCACACCACCGTGTCTAGCCGTGTTACACGCAAACGGTCGTGACGGCTATGACGGCTGCCATGTTGCTCGGTCACGTAAGCGCCAACCACTTTTTCACTATCGCGCACCTTCTCGTGCACACATATATAATACTACTATATTGCTAATCGCCCTATGCTGCCTATAAGAGAAGCTTGTCCCAGAATGAAAGGACAGACGATGTCCAAGGAGTATATTTTGACCGTAGTGCGCAGGCGCAGCGATTAGATGATAATATATATATATATATATATAAAGTAAAAGTGCCAGTGCGTGACATGTACCTAACCTGGATAGCTACTTCCTTACACGTGTAAACTGTTATTTTCATTTGCAGCTGCTTTTTTTTCGCATAAATAGCATTTCCAGGTGCTCATGTTTATAGCATATTGTATATATAACCTATTACATGCAACTTTGTACAATATATTTTATTTTCCCATTGGCGGATACGATCTATCTGACGCATGCGCATAACGTTCGTAATAGACTCAGAAAGAGAGAGAAATATATATTCCCGCACCGTGGTTCTGGGGCCAGACTTCTCTCTTTTAGCAATATAGGGTACGTTCGTCTTGTACACTTTTTCGCTTATAGCGTTAAGGCTGAGTTCCCACTTAGCGCGTCACGCGCGCGTCGTCCGAGTTAAGCTAATCAAATCGTCCCATTTTATTCAGCGTAAAATACGCAATAAAACGAGACGGTTTGATTGGCTTAACTCGGACGACGCGACGCGTGACGCGCTAAGTGAGAACGCACCCTTAAGACTTTATGTATTTTAACTATTAGAATAAATAATTATTATATGAAATTAACTTCTAATTTTTTAGAGATTTTTCTTCGTACCAACATTATCCCTTCCACTTTTCGGGAACTGTCGCCTAACCGGCCCGAGCACTGCATCCTACTCGCGCAGCCGCGGCTAGCTGGAATGTAACACGGGCATTAATTTTGCTTATGTTCTACAATACATCGTTTGTCAGAATCGGAATGCAGTTGATGATCCAATGATAGCCATTTCTACCAACTTTGGTTAACTTAATCAGCCAATAATTCCAACGGAATTGACCAATTACATTTCTCGTCAAGCCCGTATCAGACTATAGATTAGGATTGAGATTAAATTGAAATTTAGCCAATCAGAGCAAAATTCACTAAGCTCAAGTTTGGTGAACTTTGCTCTGATTGGCTAGTTTTTAATTTAATCTCAATCTTAATCCGTAGTCTGATACGGGCTTTAGTCAGAATTGACAGATGCGATAGGTCAATTTTGTTGGAATAATCAGCCAGTTAAGTTAATTGAAGTTGGTAGAAACAGATATGAGAGAATTTATTTTTCGTAAACGAGTTCTCATTGGACGAACGGTATATTGTAGAACTGGCTCGCTCCAAAGCGTTTGAAGCGTCAAGTGAATTATACCCTTTGTTTCTCCCTTGAGAGGTCGCGAAGGTCGCCGCAGGTTGCGCTGAACGCGTAACCTCGGAATGGTGTCGCGGTGTGCAGGGTCGTAGCGCTCTCTCGTCTCTCGCGTTGTATTCGTGGTCGAGTTGGACGACGTTCAGCGATGATGCGGTGCCGACAGGCACGGTGTTTGACGGGAATCTATTAGACAAACGTGCGCGCGGGCTTACGTAGTGCGCAAATAGGCTGATTGTTCGTCGCCGACGTCGCCGCTCGAGATCTGTGAGATCGGTGCAATAAAGACTAGTGCGTGCTCGCGTAGTGAAAACAAAAAATGTGAGGCCCCGAAGCGACAGCGGGTTCGGAGCTCGTTGAAAGTGAACGAGACAGAGAGAGAAAGACAGACAGAGAGAGAGAGAGAGAGAGAGAGAAGAGAAGCGAAAGAAAGAGGGAGAGCAAGAGAGAGAGAGAGAGGCAAAGAAAGTTGCCGTGCCGAAGACGACAACGGAGGAGCGAAGGAAAGGCGAGAGGAGACGACACACCGACAAGCGCCTTGTGCGATTTCGGAATCTCGACGACGAAACAGTGAGGTGAGTCTCGCAGGAACGAATAACGCTACTTTCGTGTCACAATATTCCCTTAAGCCCGCATCAGACTACGGATTAAGATTGAGATTAAATTGAAAATTGACTAATCAGAGCAAAGTTCACCAAACTTAAGCTTAGTGAATTTTGCTCTGATTGGCTAAATTTCAATTTAATCTCAATCCTAATTTATAATCTGATACGGGCTTTAGCTCCGCGCTTTCTCTACACTCGTCATTGCTTCTTTTTGGTCTCCTTTCTTTGATCGAAGCCTGATGATCACACGACTGTGTTTTTTCTTTTTTTTTTTCTTTCTGATTAATGTAGAAATGTAGAGAAGTGCGGATGGTAGAGGACCTCTACCTCGCGAGCACCACCAGTGGAGCTCGATGATCTATCTTTTTGAGATGCACTTTATATCCTTTTTTCCGCGATGTAGTTTCTGTTTTTTTAGGATGCTGCGCGTTTGTTTGTATTATTTCAAGCACGAAAGGTACACAAGTGCAACTCAAACAACAGATGCGTACATGCTAGTTATCAAATCCCGTTTGTATTCGTGACAGAATCAACTTCTCGCAGACAATGCGCGTTCGCGGATAGAGGAAATGTTTTTGAGTTACATGTGTGTGTGCGTGTGCGTATTATGCGACTCCGCCATTAAGTCTATTCTATCTAATCGCGGTCTGTTACATTTTCCGTGCCCGGCATGAGACAAGTGTGCACTATCACTTAGTGCGACTAAACGAGAGAAAACAAACAGCGAGGATAGAATGGATTTATTATTATTGATAAAACGTATGCAGTTGATTTAACCTAACCTAACCTAATTACAACCTCTCGCAATATCGATATATCAACAGATTGAACGAATAAGAGTAATCTAAAAAATAAGAAAGAAAGAGAGATATCAAAAAATATATACAAGATATATAATATATATGTGCTACAATAATTTATATATATATATGTATGTATATTTAAATATATATTTATATTTTTGCACTCTCTGAGAAAGAAATACTTGAAAATTTGTGTGTGTGAGATAAAAGTTCATTTCGGGGAAATAAGCTTTGTTTCACAGAAATGAGTTTTATATTCCACTAATAAATTTTCAAGTATTGTTTTTTCAGTATGTGTATTAAGGGTAATCACCCTCTCCCCCTCACACACACACATGAGAAAAAATAGATATACAGATATAATACACCGCGATAAGAATATTTGATCTTTATATTGATTCCTTATAGTGATAGTCGTTACGACGGCGAGCTGTCATATTTATAGAATTCTTCTCTATTTTTATATTAAGAACACAGAATTCTTATAAATTACAATTTTGCTAATTCCACGACGGAGCTATTATCGCGAGTATCGCGCAAGTCATGTCGCGTAGTCATGTAATAACAAGCGTGCGATGCAAATGATTCAAGGCAAAATGACGCGCTGAAAAGGAAACCGCCGGAACAAACGCTCGGAATCTCGTGATCGCGTCCCGATAGGACAGAGAGGACGAGAGTAGCAGCTCGTCGTATCTCATGTCAAGAGGAGGAGCCTCGTATCTCTCTGCGAGCACGTAGAATGGGTGAGAAAATTATCGAGTTATCAACTTTGTCGGCGAACTAAAGTTCGAACTTGGATCTAGCTCCCGATGTAAGTCATTGCTGGTCAGCTGAGTCTTTTTTTTTTGTCTACGTCGTAGGCATGATTGTGATCTAGAGACGAGCGCATTCGTTGATACGGATTTAATTAAAAAATATGTAATTCCGCATCTTAATAATCTTCATATAATTCTGTTTTAATTATAACAATCTACCAGTTACATAAATAAAGGAAAGGAACTCAGAAAGGAAACTTTGATTACAGGCTTGGCTTGATCAGCTGAGTAAATTGCGATAAAATCTAACTGAATCTAATTGAATCAAAACAATTGAAATTGAATTAAATTGACTTAGAATCGATTGCACCTGATTTAAACTGTAATCTGTTTCTTTCGACTGAACTAAGTTGCATTCCTTGTCTTTAGAGTGAAATGAGTATACAACAAAGCATTAAAGGAAAAGGGACAAAGTTTCAATGCAACACTAGTTTAGTTAAAAAGAACAGGCCTTGCAGTCTAAATCAGTGCAATTGATTCTAAGTTAATTAGATTTTATTCTCATTTAAGGTAAAAGTTACAATACCTGGACGTGTTTCTAACTCTGAATATTCTTATCGTTTTGCTATTTAAATTTAAGCTTTCAACATAGAATACATATATATACACAATACATATATACATATTCTTTACGTTGAAAGTTTAATTTTTCGTATTTAAAGACCAAAATAATAAGAACGTTTACAGTACTTTTACTTTGCTTAGTTACCGATCATTGTTTTAATTTTGTTTCTTTGGTCTGCTATTTTTAACCGCACTGTATTATACTTTCTGAATTCAGGGGATGAAATAAGTGTATATTCACGAGAGATCTAAAGAAAGAAAAAGTACAGGAAATGCAGCTAAAACCGGCTTTCCACGTTACAGTTAGAATCAACTGGCAGTAATCAGCGAACACAATTCTTCCCTCAATCTCCGTAAAGCAGTTAAAATAGCTCGACCATTTTCTTCTAGATGATAATCCGACCTATGACGTAGACACGGAATGTAAATTAAGCCAGACCAGGTTGAAGTATCGACCCGTATAAGTGCGACCGACCGTCATCGGTCGCGCGATCATAAGGATCATTCAGTTACACCTTTTGCACCCTCCTTCCTTCTCCTGTCTGCGAAGCTTGAAAGCCGTACACCTACATTACTTCGGAAGGCAGAAAGTGCGGAAAAAACGCGGCTGAACGGCAAACGCGTCTCCGTGGAGCGCGGCTAAGCGCGGCGCGCATTATAAATAACGCGCTATTTGGAGCCGCGTCATGCGCGGTGCGGGGCGGTGTCTTCTGCGGAAACACGGCGGCGATTGCGCGTCGGTTGAATTCGCGTTGCGACGGAACGTGGAAGCGCGTTAGGAATCGCGAGTTAGAATCGCCCGACCGACCGCGCGAGTCTTTCTACCCGCGCGCTTTCCACCGTCCGTCTATTCGCCTGTTCTACTGAGCGATTCTCGGTCGAATCTAGAACTTGCTGCCGCTTAAAAATGACGAAGCGCCGATAGCCCGTCGATTGTGCGTGCCTCTCGGAACCTCGCGAGTCTTGGATTTCGCCTGTAAATGCGGAAACGGTCGTTTAACGAATATCCACGTGGTAAGCAGGCGTGAGAATCACCGGTTCTCTTTTTATCCGTAGATGTAAAAGCATCCTGAGGTCGACTGCTACGTGGTGGATTTAACTTTGTCTCACGCGCTTTTGGAGCGGATGTAATTACACAGAAACTCAAGACGGGCTCCTGCTTCCGAGCAAGCTCGATTCATCGGACAAACGCGATGTTTGAGCGACGAAAGACTTCTCACTCGGAGACGCTGACAGTTGACGCCTCGAAGTGTTTCGCGCTTTGCTCCTTACCAAGACCGATCGCCCCAGAAACGTCGTTATCCGATCACTTCACGCTCGGTCGAGCCGCCGGGCCGATGGCGTACCAAGACAACGATGCGACGACGAGCTCGTCCGCAAGACTCGCATGACGCGTCGAATTGCGTGCGGAGCGTCGTACGTCGCCGGCGGTCAGCGCGAGATGCTAACCCGGTCGGTCGGCTTCGCCGAAGCGATTCCGCTCGGGAAAAAAATACTGCTCTCAATTACCACGAGCGCCTCCCGTTCTCGCGCGAAGCGAGACGCGTAGACTCGCGGCACGTCATCGTCGTAGTCGCGGTCGATCGCGTTTCGCGAGAGAATTGGAATAATTGTCGGTCCGCCGGCGGTTGCATAACGACGTATTCCCACCTCCGCCGTGTAACACGCGCAGTTCCGTAGCTCTGACCCGCCGAGTTTCCGTCGGAGAAGCGTTTGCCTCGCCGGTACATTTCGCGCGTGCTGAATCGGTGACGTGGGAAAAGATCGCTCGGCGATAGAAGCGAGGAACACGTGCCCGCGGATTTTCGAAAAATCCCGCATACCATAGAGCGGAGAACGCCGACGATTTGTAAAAGCCCTCGGCGCGCACACACTGCGTCGTTCGTTACGTACCAGAAATTTTCGCTGCCATCGCCGTCGAGCTATCTATAGACTGTAGTAATAATAATACACATAGGGTGTCTCAAAGCTACCGCCGTTGCTCTTCGTCCACGCGACTCTTTCACTGCATCTCGTCGTTGAGTTTCCACGTAACGAAATTATAATAAACATTTTATAATTTGTTTTAAATTACTCACGATTGTGTGCGTTTGAGGCTCGTATTATTAGTTGTCACTTGAAACTTGTCTCATCTGAGATGCTTACATTTTTATTTTCAGTTTGATAAGTTTTTCATTTAAATCATGATTACAGATAAAAATGTTACATATCGTAATTTAACGGAAATATTTTGTTCTAACTGGCAATAGATCTGACAATAGATCAAAGATCTGAATATCTCACACCTTTTATTTGTTTCAAATGAAATATAGGTTTTTATTCACAGAATTAGATTTAAGTTTATCAGTTGAATTGTATGTGACACATGTGACATTCATATCTCTAATCGCATTTCATCTAAAAGCTCTTATCTAACTCTGACTTAAAATCTGAGTGTCTCACTTGAGATAAATTTCATGTAATAACTATTAATATGAACATGAGATCTGCATTAATATTCGTTATTTGTATAATTTGCCTCAATTGAGGTACTCAGATATAAATTCAGAGTTAGATGTTTAGAGTTTTTCAGTTAAATTGCGATTATAAATACTAACTGTCACACATGATATAATTTGCCTGAAAAACTTGAATCTAATTCTGAGTAAAGATCTCACGTGAGACAATTTTCAGGTGACAACTATTAATACGCGCGTAAGAGTAAAGAGCGTGATTTCTCGTTTGTTCGCCGTTTTCAAAATATCTTTCCTGAAATTCGCTCGCGGACGGTGGCTGTTAAATCAAGCGCTGATTATGTCAGATCCGGTGCTGAATTGTTAAGTGTTAACCGCAGATAAGAGGCATGACGATTGCTTTGAAACACACTCCGTGCATCTCTCTGTTTTAACCGCTCAGATTGTAATCGGAAAATAGCTCTCATTAAGCGCAGAATGCATGACGCGTCACGCAGAAACGTAACGTGAATTATTATTGCAGTCCGTACACGGATTTAATTGCGTCCGCTTGTAATCAGCTCTTATCGTTCTTCCATACGATTCGTCGCTTGTTAATTCGAATCACGACAAATTCTGGCGCATTACGAGAGAGAGCGTTTGGCACGAGACCGAGAAGTCGTATTTAGCACTAAATGAGCGCGCCGAGAATACGGGTCTGTTTATCGAACGCGGCTCTTCTCGCGCGTTTCTCCGCGTTTCTACGTGCGAGGAAAACTCTCGTTCTGTTCTTTTCCATTTCTGTTTTTCAGTCGCTTCGGATTCCTCGCATTTCGCATTCGGCCAGGCGTGAGGCGCTCGATTCTCCCGACGCGCTTCGTTCATGCTGACGAAAGTGTTTCAGTTAATTAAGTTCTGTCATCTGATAGTGTGACAAACGTTTAGATTTATCTCGATTGTAGATACACAAGGAGGAATGTCCCGCAACAATGGACCTGGTCTTTACGAGTTCCTCATGGAAGCCGAGTTGCAACAATATTATCCCGGCATTCGAGGTATTATAAAAGTTCTTATTTTTGTCAATAAATATACTTTTTTTCTTTATTTTCATTGTTGGATAATCTGCCATCCACTTATATTCCTATTAAGTTAAATTTGTGATAAGTTTGTAATTTTAAGCTTCTGAAAGGCTTGTGATAGACTGCTCTGATATCTTAAAACTTATATTATTTAATATTCCTAGTAAGACTTAGAAGAAATTTACCATTTTTTTTTAATTGCGTAGCACGTTTAATGGCAAATATAAACCATTAAATTATTTATATATATTAGCGAATATTTATTATGATAATCTTGATTTCCATTATATGATATATTAAAAAGCCGAGATTATTAAACTTCTTAATCAATTCTTCAAGATTAAACTTTTTTTTATAACTTTCTCTATAAATTTATTTTTATTGTTATTAATTAACGTATTCTATTTTTTTTAGTACTTTATATTTATTTCTTTATGTATATTTTTTTCTTTTCATTTATTTGTGTATTAAAAGGACATTCCCGTTTAATTAAATAAATAAATCGTAATATTACATTATAATAATTATTTAACTATTCATTAATAAGAATTATCTTTGTTTTATCTAGGGGACCTGAAAGTGCAAACAACGGCGCAACTGAAATATGTAACGGAGGAAGATCTGAACGCGATAGGGATGAGTAAGCCGGAAATGCGTCGCCTGAAGAAGTACTTCCAGAAGCACTTCCCACAAAATTATCTCTCCAAGTTTAAGAAGATGCTGTTGCCGAAACGAGAAGAGCAGTCGCCCGGTGCTCTGAGCATGCTACCGGAGGAGCGGCAGGACAAACCTCCAGTCCGCGTTCCCAACAAGCACATGATACCAGCGGACGCGATCATCGTCAATAAGGAACTAGGAACTGGCGAGTTCGGTATCGTACAGCAGGGCGTGTGGACGAACGACGGCGAGAGGATACAAGTGGCGATCAAGTGTCTGTCGCGCGAGAGGATGCACAACAATCCCATAGAGTTCCTGAAGGAGGCCGCGATCATGCACTCGATCGATCACGAGCACATCGTGCGCATGTACGGCGTCGTGCTCGACACTAATTCACTAATGCTGGTCACGGAGCTGGCGCCATTGCGCTCGTTATTGGAATGCCTGAAAGAGCCGAGTCTACGTGCCAGTTTCCCTGTCTTGTCGCTCTGCGACTTTGCCGTACAGATCGCTGACGGAATGCAGTATCTAGAGCAGAAGCGGTTAATACATCGCGACCTCGCCGCTCGCAACATCCTCGTGTTTTCCAAGAACAAGGTCAAGATCTCGGACTTTGGTCTGTCGCGCGCACTGGGGGTCGGCAAGGATTACTACCAGACGAACTTCAATGTTAACCTGAAGCTACCGATCGCATGGTGCGCGCCCGAGTGCATATCTTACCTAAAATTCACGTCAGCGAGCGATGTTTGGGCGTACGGTGTGACTTTGTGGGAGATGTTCAGTTACGGCTTCCAGCCGTGGGCAGCGTTGACCGGTCATCAGATCCTCGAAGCGATAGACGAGCCAAATTTCCAGAGGCTAGAGCAACCTGACTGTTGTCCAAAGGACTACTTCGCTCTTATGCAGCAGTGTTGGCAGCACGACCCGCTCAAGAGGCCCAAGTTCTCCGATCTAATCAGCGTGTTACCCGACCTAAAACCGGAACAAGTGCAAGCAGTTCAAGATAGCGTTGACCCGAGTCAGCTCGTTTACAGACAAAGCGACGTGATCACAGTTTTGGACAAAGGCAGCAGCAACACGTTGTGGAAGGGTGTGCTGAACAACGGCAAGACAGGATACTTCAATCCGGCTCACACGATAGCGTATATTGGTTCCAATCTGCCCAGCAACAAACCAGGCGAATTCACGCGGGGAGATGGCAAAAATGCCTTCTCGTCGCAGCGTAGGAAGATTCGCACGGACATGATATCGTCGCCGCAAGGCGATCTCAAACACACAGGTCACGTGGGTCTGGACGGCGCCTACTTCGGTGACATTAGCTTCCTCGGCGGAAAGTATCCGCACTTGCCCCGCCAGGTAGTCACACCGTACAAGCCGCAGGAGGACGTAACTGATAATTCTAGTCAAATTGCAAGTCAAGACGCGAGGAGTATCGATGTGAACAGAGAATCAGTGAGGGACAGCAGAAACCTTCAACAAGAGACCCAACAGAGCAAACACGGTATGTTCTTGCACTTTGTTTTCAAGAAATATTTAATTTATTACATGATTGTTTTTAATACTTATCCAACAAAGATGAATATCTGCAATATATTTTACCAAATTGATATCATTTGTCTATGGTGGAGTGGAACAAGTTCGTCATGTAGCTGGATCAAAGATTACAATTCGGTTACGTTTGATCCTTGTAATCGATCTCGTTGCGTTGCTTTAAGAATGACGTGATCTCGTGTGGTTATTTAGAGAGCTTATGGTCTGATACGAGTTCGGAGATATGCCACGTAACCGCGGCGGGCAACGCGAGCAAGCAATCTATGACGACAAATATGGGGAGCAGCACCGACACTCTCGGAGCTGACCACGAGTACCACGAAATCAGTGACGAAGAGAATCAAGACAGTCCGTTGAGATTCGATAAGACATTGAATTTCGACTTTGGTCCGAGTCTTTTGGCGGAGATGGATCAGATGTTCAGATCATTAGGTAAAGCGAGAACCGGACAATTTTAGATATTCCGCTTTGTGCGTCGTTTGTATAAAACAATATTTATGACCCATTCTTTTACGTTCTTTTTATAGGCTCGTCTCCTCCACCTCCGCCACCTGGTCATCCTTTGCCTACCGAACACGAATCGAGCAACGCGAGAAACGAGTTACGGGAGATACAAGCGAAACAGTGCAGCAAGAAAAAACAAGCCACCGTGAGTCCTATAAATGTACAGTAATCTTTTATTATTTATGAGTTTATAGTATTACCTCCACAATGTTACGTTTCTCTTATTTATTATTTGCGGCTCTTTAGATATTATTTTTATTTATATTTATACGATGTGTGTTATCTGTATATATATATATATATATATATATATATATATATATATATATATATATATATATATGTATATACATACATATATATCAAGCTGAGAAATAAGAAATCAAGTTGCTCTAATTTACAATCGATGATTCGCAAGGAAGTCATTACGCACACCATTGTTGCAGTTTACAAAATATGTTCGGTGCAGTAAGTCTTTCCACGCGGCATATTATTCGTTTGTGCAAAAGTAGAAGGAGAAAGAAAGACCGCGGCAGTGTTTAATCTCGTCATTGATTCCGACGGAGACGGTAAACGTTTCTCTTGTATTTAGGTGAAGCCTATCTCAGCCGCCGATCAGAAAACTCTCTACTCAGCCATTGCTATGGCACAGGAATTGACAGCACGTTCCATGACAGATCTCGAACATCCACCGGAGTCTCCCCGAACACCTGCCAGTCCTTCAAGACGCAGAAAATTCTCTTTTAAGTTGCCACATCAACACAGTCCTAAACCAGACAGACGACACTTTTCCGAAGAAGCTGCCAGTATACCTGACATACAGGTACATAAAACGGTTGTTTTGTTTCATCACAGAGTTTACGCTAAAGAGTTTACACGTGAAATTAAGAGATTCGCAACAAAGGAAGACGCGTTGACAAAAGAGACAATGAAAATTCTTAATGTAATTCATAAGGTCTCGTTGTGTAAAACTCGTGAAATTTCTCGGTGACTTAACAACTTGCAATAATATGCTAACTGATGCGAACTTAGCGTGCGCGAGCAAAAGACGGGGGGAAGATTCTGAATTACCAATAAGATTCAGCGTCCGTCCCCTCGCAATTTTTAAATTTATTCTTTACTATGAACTAGTGTGTTGCTTTGCCGAGTCATCTAATAATAGAGACAGCGCTTCCTTTGTTCTCTTAAGTAACATTTAACACCGAGGCAAAATGATAGATTATACACACGCTATTACACTTTTTACATATTCTCGAGCATACGAGATCGTGCGGGAAATTGTTTCGCGAGTTGGAAACCGAGATATAGTACGCAGGCTGTTACGATTTGAGTTTTGGTAGGATAGGGGTTTATACGGTAGAGATGAATAATACATTTCCTTGCTCTGACATATATCATCTGAAAACAACTTTGGAAGCTGTTATGGAACAAAGTTAATTCCTGCTGCCACGTAAAGTGAAGAGTAGGTATTACATATGTATATAACAATCGCATTTACTACTAACAATTCATCCTGAGATCGATCGATTGTACTTGAAATTTTTTGGTTTTTATTAACCTAGTGCTTATTCACTTACAACACGACTAATATCGACTTTCCTATGATCCTTTTCCCTCTTCTCTCTCTCTCTTTTTCTATCTCTTTTTCTCTCTCTCGTTATTTCTTATTTATTTTTGTATCTTTGGTTTCCTTATAATTTGACGTTTGATCTTTAATTGCGTCGCAAATCAAACTTTTTTTCTTAATTTGGCGATGAATGCAAACTATAAATATCTCTTGCCGACTGTAAAATGTCGCGTGCATATAATATGTCTTATTAATACAACACTTGCATCTACTTTGCATGTGCTTGACTTGATGCAACGTATTTGGTCGTGAACTCAAATTATCCGCATGATGTCTTCGAATTTCTTCGCGAATTCTACATGTAAAGTGGCTATGCTCGAGTCTGCAGTCCCTCTCGTCCACGGTATCTAGCATAGAATCTCTTGGTGCGCCGTCGACCTTGAAATTACCCTTGTGGGACAAGGCGTCGGCGGAGTTCTGTTTCGCAAAGTCGCGCGAATTGCTGACCAAGCCGAGTGCTTGGGCTTCTTACATGGACATGGACTTTGACGCGCACATATTGGATAACGCGGCGACGAAGCAAAACCTCGTCAAGTCCACCGAGTTCTTGGAGAACGGGAATAGGAAGAGCAACGCGAATTGTGAGGCCGCAGCCGACATAGACGGCAAACTGAATATGCGCCATCAGAACGGCAAGATCTTCAATCTGGAGAACCCGAATTTCGATTTCCCGCGCGAGGTGAAGCGAGTATCCACCAGCTACGTGGAGCGCTACTTCGAGCAGCCCAAGTACTTCGACGACGAGCCTATTCTGGGGTGTCCCAGCGGCGAGAAGATGTACTTCGGGGAGGACAAGTACGACAAGATCAATAATTTGGAGCAACCTAACAGGTCGGCGTATTATTCTAATGTGCCGGAGCAGAGCTCGTCGCTCGGAGGCAGGCCCAATCAGACGTTGCCGAATAAACCGAGCAACTGCGAGCCGCAATTGAAGGACAATATCGCGCATTTCGAAGCGCGAGCCGACGAGAATTTCGATATATTGAAGGAGAAAGCGGCGAACTTTGAGTCACCCCGTAGTAAGCCGAATAAGTTCGAAGTCATCAGGGACAAAGCGACGAACTTGGATCTCGGCACAAGACCAAAGATCCCTATTGCCTTCACCGAGTCTACAAAAATGAACATCACGGAATTCACGAAAAAAATCGACCTGTCGAAATCTCGAGCAGCGAAAGTATCCTTTGTGCCTAGAAATCCGAACCAGGATGCGAAGAGCGGTGTCTACGGCTCGTCGGACAGCATCAAAGCGAACGTGAAGACAGGAGGATCCGACAGTCCCAGAGGCAATGTGGAAGCGATGAGGATAAACATACAGAGCTTCCGTAAGATCGAGCAGAATCAGAACGGTCACGAAGGCTTCCCGTTCGTGATATCCAACAATCCTCTGTTCATCGCTGAACCGGAAAAGAAGGAGTCTCCCATCTACAGCAGTTCCGAGAGCCTGCGAGTGAATTTCCAGCGTCTCAGGCGGAAATCTGACGCCGAGGCCAGCCAAGTGGAGCTAAACAGCAAGCTCTTGGCGGAGAAGTATCAGCGCGAAGTCTCCGGTTTAGAGACAGTGAAAAGCTATTTGGATTCCAAGAAAGGTCAAGGTTTGAATCTCGGTTTAGGCAAGCTGACGCAGAACATGATCCAGCTGGGTAAAAATATCGCTCAGAACTCGAGAAACTTGGAAACCGCGCCGTCCAAATCGCTGGTGTCCAACATAAGGAATTTGGACCTGTCCATGCCGTCGCAGACGCCACCGTCGCGGAGCTTGAACATTCCGATTCAGAAGCCGAAGCACTTGGACCTCAACATTCCGCTGCAAAGTCAGTCGCCGATCAACGCGAAGCTCAGCCTGATGCAGAAGGCGAATCAGCCACCGACGAGTCCCACTATGCATCAGCACATCCTGGAGCCGCCGAAACTATATCAAAACGATCCCGCGCGGAAAGAGTTACCGAAGCTGGACGTGCTCATTCCGGAGAAGCTTTCCGGCGCCGCGAACATCTACCGACACCGAACGTCGTCCTTGTCGGAGAACAGGAAGCCACCGATAAAGAACGTGCGCAGATCATTCCATCCCAAGAACGACTCCAGTGAGGACTCCGACTCGGTCTCGCACTCGGAGACCGATATCAGGAGTCGGCTGCGCTACAAACGCAGGCACAAGCGAGTGCCGCACAGTCTGCGGCTGAACTTCAAGAACAAGCCGCCATTTTTACATCCGGACTCCGCCAAGGGATTCTCTGCGATCGAGCTGTGCGGCAAGTCACCGCCGCCGTCGACCAGTTTTCTCAACTCGCTTTCGCCGCCGTTCTCCTCCAGGAACAACTTGCTCTCTTGGCCGGAGAGCGCACCGAGCTCCAGTCTGACGTTCACCAGCAATTCTGATCTCGACTCGGACACCAGCTCCGAATACCCGGAGTTCACAAGCGATGTGTTGACCTTCCCACCCTCCCCCGCTCCATAAAGTTCGAATGTACCGATATCATGGCTCTATGAGGCCTCGATCGATCTGGATGTGGCTTCTTTGTGTGTTTACCGTATTACGATCTCGTAATACGGTCGGAGAAATTGTTCCGTGACGAATGCATGCATTGTATATTGACCCATTATAGATTCAACATAGATTTCGTACAACGTGACGTCCCCCCGATGCTCAGAATAATCCCGTCTCGAAATGGTTTATAGCAATATTAATGTTCAAGCTATACACGAGAGGTTTTGTTACAGACATTATCTTGTCCCATTAAAAGTGAACCATAAACACGAAATAGCATATATTGGCCAGAAAAAACCGCGAAATGAAATTAGATATCAAAGAGGTTTATTACCTATTATTACTGTATGCGAAATACCGAATTATTAAACAGGGCATTAATGAGATTTTCAGACTCGTGATGGGTGATCTTTAATGGGTTGAGTAGTTGTTAAGCCGTTATATCCTAACATATGATTCATCATGTGTATCCACTCGGTCGGAATATTCCGAAATATTACTTAAGGTTTCATTGTGATGACAAAGCTTGCACGAGAAATTAAGCGTAATTCCACTTATTCAAAATCACTTATCAAAATTCGGCACAAACAATTTTGTATATTTGAAAGTGAATTTTGTATATTTTTGCATACTCTTGATATATCGTTTTTGGATATAACGGGTTGTGAGAGGACGAGGTATATACTCTCTCTCTCTCTCTCTCTCTCTCTTTGTGCATGGAGTATATACGGTGTGTAAGGTGGATATACAATAATTAATTGAAAGAGGTGTTGTGCGAAGCAACAGTTCACATACGCTTAGCATGCTTGCATGTTGTACTAATCACCAGATAATATTAACGTATAATGGAACACTTTGGACGTATTTACACATTTATAGCAATTGTACACACGTATTCGAGGAACCGATACAAAGTCCTGCGACGTACAAATCGGTTCGTCATTAGTAATACCAGTTTTTACTCAAGGGAGATTTATAAAAACGATACACACGTATACAAACACACACACATACACACACACACACACACACACACACACACACTTGCACCTACGTATTTTCGAATAGTTGCAGTACGTTGGAATAGATCAGGAGTTCTCAAACTGAGAGACACGCATATCATCAATGGATGCGCCAACCGTTTAATATTTATTCTGCAATATATTCCACAGTATTATATATTATTAGTATATTTATAATATATGTTACATGTATATATAGTTTATATATATTAATTTCAAGTGATAACGTCCGGTATAACGCAAAAATTTAAGGCGAAGATATACTAGTCTCTTTTACCGATTCATTTTTAGTCAGACAGGCGAAGTACACCTTTAGTTGCAAAGGTAATTGCTCTTACTTATACCGCAGTTGGCGTGCAAAAATGTCGCGCGGAGCGAAAAGGTTTGAGAACGCTGAAGTAGATCACGTTCGTCGGTATGATACGACACGTCGTATGCAATTCTCCATCGCACCATAAACACTGCAACGGTTGTCAGGTGTTGTCGTTGATTTGTTCGCAGTTGAACGTTTGCTCGAGGTAGTTGTTGAATTGAATACACGATATCATCATAGGCAGAGCGAAAGACTGAGAGACAGAGGAGGAATGCAAGGGCGGTGCGAATGCAGAGAGAATGAAAACGATGAGAGAGTCTGTTTGGCATTTCATGTATCCATAGTTTTCGTCAGGCGCGCGTTTCTCATTTCTGTTTAATTTCGTTTCTTCTTCCCTCGTGTCTATCCCCTCCCGCGACTTGTTCAGGCCACCCTGTCGGAGGAAGCTAAGGAAGTGTACAACAGCTTGGTGGAGACGCCGACGATGGAGAGCGCCGGCGACACGAATCCCCTGCGTATGCTGCGCTCGGGCCTGCCAATCGTGAGGCCTCGCATTCGCGGCAACAAGCATGCTACCCTGGGTCATCCGGCATCGCAGTCGCACTCGGAGGACGCGTCCAACGATCACGGTTTCCACTTCGAGATGCACCACAGTGGCGCCAGGACCTTGCCGAAGGTGCGAGCGCCTCCCCCACCGCATGCACCACCACCGTTGCCGCAGTCACGCAGCCTTGAGAGGCACCATTCCGCCCAGGAGATCGAGAACAATCAAAATCAGAATAACGTCGACGAGAACCCGATACCCCTGCCGCCCCGAGACCGCTCTAAGCCGCTTCAGGCCAAGTCCAGCTTGCCGCGACATCAGAGGAAGCATCCGCTGATCATTCCCGGCGGTGGCGTCACCAGGACGTTGGCGAAGATGGCCGTGACTACGCCGCCTATCGAGGATCAAGTGGACGGGCATTTCGTTCTGCAGAATGCCGGCTCGTCGGTCGCCGGCACTTCGTTGCAGGATAGCTACTCTCCGGAAGCCTCAGCCAACAGGCGAGTAACTGAGAGTGGCAATCAAATAATAACAAGCTTGTGAAGATTAGAAATTATGAAAACAACTCTCGAGTAAATGATCGTAAGGCTCTTTCATACAAATAAAAATATAGGATAAAGGACGGTAAGAGCCAATTGCAAGTCTAATTTGCACGCATTTTATAATAATTATTATATATATTAATAAGAATACTAATATGTTATTAATAGTTATTGTAAATACACGTAAATTAAACATGCAATTTGATCTTACCGTCCTTCTCCCTATATTTTGGGAATTATAAATCTTTATGACACTTAGCTATTTACTGTTCTACCAATATAAGACGAATAACTGGAATTTTCAGCCCGGAAGAATTCGAACAGCGCATAGACTCTGAGCTGGCCGCGCTAGATTCTTTACCCGTCGAGGAGAATCGACTGCGACGATGTAGCGTGATCTCAGAGGATCTGCTGGAATTCTCAGAGAACTTGATCGACTGTGGCGACGCGTCCGACCCACGGCAGAACATCTTGGAAACCAGCAACGACGGTCAGTCGAGCAACTCCTCGAATGTGACCGACAATCTACGCAGGAAGATCAGCGTCGAGTCGAAGAGTTCCGTGAGGAGCACAGCGTCCAAGGTGCAGGAGAACGTGGAAGCGGAGCCAAGCCGGAATCCAACACCGACCAGTTTGAGCAGATCGGAAGACTGGAGCAAGATTGATCCGTTGGCTACCGCGGTGAGAAATCCTCCCGCGAGGATTCCGCTGATACATCAGCCTGGCCCGCCAAGTTACGCGTCGCAAACGGATCATCCCGCGGAAAGTGTTCCCGGCAAACCTGAGACGAAAATCCAATGCGAGGAGGAACCATTGGTGCTGATTAGTTCAAGCGATAAATTTCACAAGATCGGTCCCTTGAAAGCCTATCTCGCCAGTGAGAAAACGACGAGTCGCACGAGCGATTTGTCGCGGCAGTCGGACCACGTCTCTTGCGAGGACCTATTGGAATTTGCCTGCGATGGGCCAAACACTCGTAGAACACGCGGGCCGCGCAACGGCGAGCAGTCCGACGAGGTGCGGATCATGCTGAAAGTGTTGCACAAGCAGACAACTCCGGAGTCTTGCGTCGCTGCGCTCAACGTCACCGAGTGGGACGTGCTGGCCGCTATCAAGCTGGAGCGACTACAGGATCTGCTGAAGAAGGAGAACAGCTTTGTAGGTCTCGAGGATTGCAAGGTGATGTTGAACCAGTGTGGCGGCGACGTTGTCAAGGCGGCCGCGCTGTTGCGCAGCACGGAGGACACTGCCGCGGTTTAGTGCGGTTTTTGCTGTCTCGGAACGATTCGACGGCGGTGATTGCTACGTCGGAAAGAGCGAAATCGTTATTCTGAAATTGATCAAATGCTCGACGGGGAAATAATCTAGCGCAAGGATCCAGACTTCAAGCGACGAAATGAGGAGGACAGAAACTGCGCAAAACGGCAAGTTCGAGCCATATACAGTTCTCTACAGTTTTCACAGTATGCTTCCTTAAAGAAATTCTATTTAAGATCCCCGACGAATGTTTGTAAGATCTTTCGTATGTGTAGAAATGTAGATGAATTTAACGAACGTTTATTTATTGTTTTAGTATTAATAGGGCGAACACAGTGGTTGATATATGCTTTATGTTATCTAGTTGAAGGATTTCAAGATTAGCTTATTTGATATGCCCTTAAGAGAATAGAGCAGAACGAAACTAGCTTATTCTTATTTAACTTGCCAAGCAAGATAACAAGTCGATTGTATTTCCTTTATCCATGAACGTAATGTGATAATTCGCACAATAAGGATTACAAATTTTGAAGTGAACGACGAAGAAGAGAGTGCGTATTGAGGCCGGTATTCATAGTCGAATCTTATTTCAAGACCGTCTTAAGTAATGTCTTAAGATGCGAATACGACTCTGTGATTGGTTCATGACATCTTAAGACAGTACTTAAGATGATCTTAAATATAAAATCGGACTATGAATACCGGCCTGAGATACGTTCCGCGTTTCTTTTTTCTTTTTGTTGAAGTGAAAGTCTGCGTAACGACTCCAGTAATGTGCGAAAGTTTGGCTATGACTGGAAATTTTTACAGATCTGAATATATATAATGCCTGTGTCCACGAATTTTCATTATAATTTATGCTGTAAGATGCGTAGATTTTTACCTCGCGTATCCACATAGCGGATATCGGTTTCGAGGAAGCACGTCACTTCATATTTTGAAAGTAATATACGATTATGTGGTGTTTTATACAAGACAATCATTTTGTAATATTTACACGTTTGGAAACCACAATGCTCAATGACGTCAATATCAAGCCAGTAAAGCTACGTATACTAGCGATAGGCGAATTCGTAAAGGAGATTTTAAATTGTCGGCTTGCACGTTATGTTATTTCGTGATTGCAACAAGTGGTAATATCCGGCCCCAAAGACTACTTCTGCATCGTGTCATTCGTTCGATGTCACATCTCATATTTACAAGCGAATACCAGAGAATCATCACATCGGTCAAATTATATATTTTCTAACTCACCGCTATAACTGAACGACGTTATAGCTTTTTAAAAAAGGATTTATGATCACGATCGAATAATCGTGATGTGAGTCTTGTTGATCAATCTAGGAACGCAAAAACTGGATATAATGTGGCTTCAGTATGACAAGGTTCCAACTGACATTTCGAAAACTGCGTGAAGAATGATTTGGAGTTGTTATAATTTGTATACACATGTTGGTACTTGCTAACATTTCAACGAGAAAAATGAACGCAATGACGCTTATTCTGTCGGTTAGAACCTTGACATTCGATGTTTAGTAATAAATATTAGCGTAAAAACACATCGTGCGTGTCATAAGCTTTACGAAATTTCGCTGAATCAAACGGTGCAGCGTACACGTGTGTACGAAAAAAGAAAAAATCTGCTCACCACAATATTTTATTACATTTTCCAATCTCAAGAGATATAAAATGAAAGTTTCAGACGTGCGAAGTACTGTACCTCGTTGTAAAAAGAAACGCAAGAGATATTCTTTGTAATTTAAGGTAATATATAGATTTGGGTAAGCACCAAATATTTCGCGAATTCTATGTGTTCAGTAAGATTATTTTTACGATCCGAAATGTGCGTATCACCTGTCGTATATATGACCCGCATTCTCTTCGTGCATTCAACGCTAAATACGGTCAGCTGACTCCGCGTTTTGATATCGTCCAATATCAGTGTCACATTTAATATAAATTTGAGACGAGTCAGGTAGCCGGAATTAGCCTGAAATGCACGAGCACACGGCGGGTCTGTATCTTTAAGTTATGATACGTAAAACGAGTTGTAAAACGCGACTGAGAGAAGCAAATGGTGGCTTTAAAGGGATTACTCAAAGTCTAGTACAATAAGATTCATTCTTTTCTACGATCAGGAAAAAGAACGCGTATCATTCTTCATTGTAAATCCTTAGGTTAGCACACGCGACAAAAGCAACAGAGAAAGCAAGATGCAAAACTGATGACTGATCGCCGATAAAAGTGCATATATTATTGCGGCTTTAAATCGATTATTCGTAGTCTGATACAGTTCCTGTTGAGTTACACTAACGCTGTAGTAATCCTATCATCGATTAAAGCGCGCGGGAGATAATTGTTCGACAAACAGGGCGAAGTTTAATCGGGCAAATTATGTCTTACCGGTATCGGATTTTGTTCAGTATGTGTGTGTGTGTGTGTGTGTGTGTGTGTGTGTGTGTGTGTGTGTGTATGCGCGCGCGCGAGTGCATGTGTAATGTCTCGAAATTATAAATATGTATTTTTACATATTTATATGTATACGTTGAGCAAAATCGCGCTATAGTATATTTTGTTCTTATGCGCGCCGTGTATACGCAAAAGTATGCATAAAGGATAAAATTTCTAAAATTAATTTTAAAGTTACTTTTAAAAAATGTAACACAAGATTGTTTAACATCCAGATCTTTATTTCTGGATTGTTATTTCTTTGGATTTTTTCTGAATTCTGAACTGTAACTTCGGCGAAGTTGAGGTGTGACTTATTCTTTTTATACCGTGGCATCTTTATCATTTTTATAAAATATAGTATATTTTATAGTATCGCGATACTTTGTGAGTTTGAACGATACTAGTACACAGACCGGTTTTTAAGATTGTAACATTGCTTTAATATTTAGTACAATTAGGTTACTAGTACTCCCTAATTGTGCACATTTGTTTCTGTTAATTTCCATCAGTTATCGCTTTAACACGTCATATCAGTTTCTTTGAATAACCAACGAATAAATGAATATTGCCATTAGAAAATTATATTCTCAATCTAATTATATAACACATAAGGCTATCACAATTGTCTGTGTACATCAATTCGGATTTGTTACAATTCGATTGATCCTCAAAATACGAATGAATTCTCATTTTGATCGTACCTTCGTGACAAATGTCGAACAAGGTAATCAGAGAAGAAGAAATGCAATCGAAAGTCGCGTCGATTAGCGTGAAGAAAAAGAAACTAAATTTGCTCATCGTTACTGCGCGAGTAACGCGGCAGGAGGAGAGCTGAGAGCGGATTGAGAGGGCGGAAGCGCGTGTTTGACGAGCGTGCTTTCGTTCACATCGTTCAACGAAGCCAAATAGGAGCCGATGAAACCCGCCTAAGTAACTCAATGTTACTTACCGTTAGCCTCGTAAGATAAGCGATCGTAAATAAAGTATGCGGCGCATCTCCGCGATGCGTTCGAGTAGCCAATGTACTTATACGCGCCCCTGATCCACGATATTCGGCGCTATTTTTTACGGACTATTATCATTATAATTATTTATGCAAAGTCTCAGTTGTGAAACGTTTGACGAGAACACGCGCGAAGATAAATGAGAATGTCAAGCTTCGAGAGAGGATCGCGTAATCTTGGGGATGATCATAAAAATAATAATAATAATGATAAGAGTAATCATAACACAATAATAATAATAACAATAATAATAACAATAATAATAATTAGGATTAAGTTGAAGCCATACCCATTTTTCTCGCAAAGAAAGGAGGACGGAGAGAGATACAGCGCGAGATGCGTGTAGCACAAGCGGCTAATTATTTTTAATGTACGTTGAATTTTTCATTATATCTGTGAAATCATTTCTGTAATAGAATCATTACATCGCATTGATATCTCGGAACTGAAGCAAATAATATTACACTCTCTGTAGACGTAAGGAAAAAATGTAATGTGTTTTAGTAGTAAGTAAATACGGCAGTCGCCACGTCGAAGAACTGCGTCTTATTTACTTGCTATTAAAATCTTTTTTATTTATTTATCTATATTAAGGCATGTCTCGCGCGTTTAATTAATAAACGAATGACTGAATAAATAGAAATATCACTAATTGAAAGGCTCAGAGCAAGAATAGGGTGAATGCGATTAATGCAGTGTAATGATTTTACGGAGAAGCTGCTGTGAGCGGCGAGCGCCTAATCCTTTCAGTGAAAGAATTCAACGTACATTAGAGAGATACGGCTGGCCGGCAAAATTGCTCTCGAGAGCAAACGCATCTGATTTTCCCCGCTCGACTATAGAGAATAAGTCCATCCTGTAACCATTTTGATACGCGATTTTCTTTGTAAGGCAAACACGTTTGTACGTCTCTATATATTATTACGCGCGGAACCACAAAGAATGTTTTTTATATCTGCTGTATTTACGATAATATATATACATATTCATAAATCACTGGCCGAGTCCGTTTCATTTCAAGTCGGATTACTATAGAAACGTAAGAATTGTAATGATTTTATATTCAGCTTATTTCAACTGTGCATTTATTTATATCTGCTTTTACACTATCTCAATTCTGTGCTTGGACTATATTATATAATATTTATTGTTTTATATAATATTTTTGTAATGTATATATTATTCCAAGGGTCAATTTTTCAAATAGTAGATTTAAATTTAAATTCTGTCTTTTAACAATGTGTTTTAATTAAGAATTTATATAAACTTAAATCTAAATTTAAACTACTATTTAAAAATCTATCCTAAAAAAGCCGATTTTGTAATAATAGTTTAAATTTAGAGATTCAAGTTTAAACTATCTTCAAACACATACACACACACACACACACACACATCAAACACATTGTGTGTTAGAAGAGAGTTTAAATTTGAATACAAGTTTAAACTGTTATTGTGGGAAAATTGGTCTTTACTGATGTAGAATAATAAATATATATCTATTATGTTGAAAATTGTCGCGGCAAATAATCTCTTTTTTCCAAATTTGACAAGATTCAGAAATCTGTATCTTTCTTGAAATTATGTAAAGACTCTTGTTGTTAAATTTAGATTTAAGGACTTTGTCCTAACAATGTCAAACAATGTTTGATGTGTTTGAAATTTAAACTCAAATCCAAGTTTAAAATGCTATTGAAAAATCAGTCATTATCCATAATGAATCCATATTGTAGCAATAGTTTAAACTTAAGTTACTTAATTTAAGTTTAAACTTTGTTGCTTAAATTACTTAAATTTAAGTTACTAAATTACTTAAATTTAAGTTTAAACTTTATTCAAACAAATCAAACACGTTGTGTGTGTGTGTGTGTTAGAAAAGAATTTAAATTCACATATAAATTTAAGCTACTATCGAAAAGTCGACCTTTATGTTGAACATTTTAACAAGATTCAGAAGTCCGTATCCTGCTTAGAGAATTACTTAAAGAAAGCCGTTGTTAAATCGGTGCTCGAGTTTATTGAATTTGGCACACCTGTATATTACTATGCGAATGATTGCGCGAGTATTGTATCGGCTTGATTTAAGCGCAAAGCGGCCTTGCCTGACGTTTAGCACCGGAAGGGACGAGAGATAAACGACCAGCGCCCATTGCCCTACAATTGCAACGCGAAAGATAATTCCGATCGTGAGTGATACGCGATCGCTTCGATTGCAAACTAAGGAACGCGAGACACGTGCCTCCGCGTGTGCGATACGATTTGCACACACACACACACATACACATACACGCACATATACCTCTAAGCCGCCCGGCAGAACTGAGAGTGTATTGGTCGGCATTATGTTGTTAATGCGTGTGCGAATTTTTTTGCTCGACCGCGGCGAGAGCGGCTTTGCTTAGCCGAGCCGGTCGGCCGATCGGTCGCCCTGCGATAGTTGGTGTATTATGGTCGCAGTTATGCCCGAACCGCCGAAGGGGAAAACGTCGCCGGGAGATCCGCTTCCACGTGAGCGTGCGAATGAACAGTACGACTCGTTTTCGCGCCTCATTGAATTACGTCACTCGTCGCGGCAGGAGTGAAAGAGAAAATCGCGATCGAGACGATTTACCGCAAATTTGTTCTTTTTTTTTTTTTTTATTTCTTCGTGCGCACAAAATATGTGAACTGATTTGAGATCCATATAATTTCTTCGATTATAATTTCTTTCAGAGGTGGAGAACCGTCGTGAGAGATAAGCGCGCAGCTACTGTACGTGCGACGATAGTGATGAGCGATCGAAGTTGCGAACGAGTGGATTATTAGTGAATGCACGAGGATGTAGATCGAGTCGAGCCGGCGATGGATCGTAGTCGTGGTGAAATAATTCAACTTGTGCGATAATTTATACTGAGAGTGAACGCCATTCTACAAAATGGGTTAAATTCGCGTTTCAGTATAAGAATGAAAGTGCAGAGTATAATTTTGTGAAGAGATTGCATCTCGTGCTTGTGCAACAGAATATTATAATTCAACGGAGTACGCGTTGAGTCTACATACATTTTTATAGTGTCAAATAAAGTGTTTTATATTGACGACGTAACGAGACGAATTCTACATCTGTAAAATAAAGGTACACTGAGAGGAAAAATATTTAAGAAATGAAACATTAAATCGCTAGGCATTAATAACGTATTTATTTCAATTTAAATTCCTTTATTTTTAAATAGAATAAATATTTATTTTAATAAAATATTTTTACGAAATGAAACGATTTTTTTTAATTCATATTTTCTCTATTGAAAATAAATTTTGGTCGGTATAAAAATATTTATATTGATACAATTAATAAAAGAAGTATGTTATTAGCACCTATCGAATATATATTTTTTATTTCTTAGGTATTTTTTTCCTTGGCGTATCTAATGCTGAATATTCTTACTGTCTTGATGTTTAAATACGAATATTTAAATTCTCTACATAGAATATACTGAGAAACAAATACTTGAGAATTTACATGTGAGATATAAAGTTTATTTCTGTGAAATAAATTTTTATCCTACAAAAAATCAAATATTTTTTTCAATATATATATATATATATATATATATATATATATATATATATATATATATATATATATATATATATATATATATAT